ATGGCTGACTTCTCCACCAAATCCTCCCACAGTGCCAGCAACTGGAGGTGAATTGATATCAATCGCATGCTCACACTATCCCTAAGTGAGCACACAGGGCCATACCAAATGGCCACCTTCCGGATCTGCAGAAACGACAAAGCTGTCCCAAAGGAAGAAATCATTGGAGTCTCAAGTCAGGGCTCCAGATGAGGAGCACGTGTCCCCTCGCTATCAGACCTCCTGGCCATCAGACCACTGCATACGCACTTGTCTGGGCGTCGGGGACAGATGCCAGGTCAGGGCTGGCTGCAGGGAGGGAAAGACTGGGGGGCACTGAGGCCCTCCACATTCCCCAGGGCAGCCACAGGCTGAGACCCTACCTAAGTTGGCTGACTCCTGTGAAAATCCAATTGCAATATGTGTCTGTTTAGCTAAAGGTACTAAATATTCTCTTATTGAAAAGACAGGAATTATCACTTTGGGTTACAATAAAACCCTAAAGCAGAACAGTGAGCTGTCACAGACTGAGAAGGGCAAATAGATCAGCTGTGGGCATCCAGGCCTCCTCACTGAACTAGCAGCCAGAGGTACATGAGCAGCTCAAGTCCCCATTTTTAGACATCCTCTAGGGGCCACAAATGCATTCAGTTAATTGATCCAAGCCCCTCCATACAGTCTAAGAATAGTTCATCATTTTTTTATTTATTCAGCAAACATGTGTTTAACATCTACTGTTTCCTGGCTTGGAATGACTATGCTTATAAAAATAGTCTCCTACACAGGATAGGGGGAGAAGGGAATATGGCTCTGGTGGCAGCTCAGAGCATTTTCAATAACATTTTATTCTCATAATTTCACTGTACAGTTGGAAGAGGGATATTATATCTTTGCTTTATTCCAAGGATGAGGCGCTTAGAGAAGCTGACGGCCATGACAAAGCCACGTCACTTGTGGTCCCAGGGGAGCAGGATCGGGACACCCTCCCCACTCCCACACCCTCCTTATCTTGGGCTCAGTCACTTTGGGAGTTGGAATGGCTGCTTCTGTGGGATGTATTGAGCGATCACTCCCTATCCTGGCCAATGTGGCTGAAATATTCGTGTTTGTTCATCAACTGTGTGTACAGTGAGAAGTCCACTAATTGGCTAACAAGAAGAGACTATCAAGTTATTTCTTTTAACCTCTTGCACCTTTTGTGTTCTCCAGGGGAAGACTGTGGAAAGAGAATTGGTCTTGGTAGCAGAAGAACTAAGTTGAAGTTCTTATTATATACCGTGTTATGTGACCTTGGGAATGTCATTTGACGTCTCCCTCTGTCTCATTCTTCTACAGTAACATTGGCATAATAATACCTCTCTCATAGGGCTGTCTGAAGGACTAAGTGAGAAAAAGGGATCCCAATGAATGGGAAGAGTTCAATATTGTGTCTGGCATCTAGCAGGTGCTCAATAAATGTCGACAGTTAATCTGAACGAGATAGGGTTTAGTTTAGTGGGTTGTTTACAAGATGAGCCTTGATGATTTGAGAGAACTCTCCCCCTTGCTTTAATGGAGAATTAGAAAGAACAAGAGCAAGAAAGTGACAGAGAAAGGATGAAGGGAAGGGAGGGAGGGAGGGAGGGAAGGAAAGAAGGAAGGAGGGAGGGAGGGACTGTTAGCTTCCAGCCTGACTGCCTCCTTAGGGTCACCTGCCAGATGCTAAAGCATTTGTGTGTTTGCACCCAGAAGGGACTCCTGCCAGACCCCTGGCTGAGTTGTCCCTGCACAGAAGTCATTATTCTAACCTGAAATTAAGCAAATTCGTTCTGTTAGAGAAGCAGCTGATGGAGAGTAGGATATTGTGTTTTTTCTCTGGTCTTCTCTCCTGAGGCTGGGTTGGGGGGGGGGGGGCTACATGGAACTGGGCAGAATCAGAACTGTCTCAAAGAAACCCCATGACCAATGAGCCATCCAGCCCCAAAAAGGAGGGCTTGTAACACATTCCCAGGGTCTGGTAGGACAAGAATGGTATGTTAGGAACAAACTGGATGCCATCAACAGATGTGGGATATAAATAATTAACTGAACCCCTCCTTACTTGGGGGAAAATGGTTCTTAGTTGTTTTATTGTTTGTTTGTTTGTTGTTAACCAGCTTTTCATAAGAAGGTCAGAGGTGAAAAAAGGAATGAACTTTATGAAAAAGAAAAACAAAATTCTACTTATTAGTGGGGAAAAAAGACAAAAATAGCCATAGGAGAATCCTTGTCTCTCAACTTTATTTCTAACTAGAGGCCCGGTGCACGAAATTCATGCATGGGGTCCCCTCAACCCAGCCTGCACCCTCTCCAATCTGGGACCCCTTGGGGGATGTCCGACTGCCGGTTTAGGCCTGATCTTGGGGATCGGGCCAAACTGGCAGTTGGACATCCCTCTCACAATCTGGGACTGCTGGCTCCTAACTGCTCACCTGCCTGCCTGCCTACCTGATCGCCCCTAACTGCCCCCCCACCCCCCGCCGGCCTGGTTGCCCCTAACTGCCCCCCTCTGATGGCCTGGTCATCCCCAACTGCCCTCCTGCCAGCCTGGTCGCTCCCAACTGCCCCTCCCGCCAGCCTGGTCAACTGCCCCCCCTGCTGGCCTGGTGGCTGCCAACTGCCCCCCTCTCCACCAGCCTGGTTGCCCCACGCAGCCTGTTGTTCAGTCATTTGGTCGTCCCTCACTAACCCCCCTGCCAGCCTTGTCACCCCATGCAGCCTGCTGTTTGGTCGTTACTGTTACTGTGACGGCATCCTGGACAATTTGCACATTCCTCTATTATTAGTATAGATTACTGCCACCATTCCTTATTCTAGGCCTTCATTATCTTCCACCTACACTCAGAAATACTAACTGCTCTCCAAGTTTAAGACTCTCTATCTGATCATGCCATGTTATTTCTCAGAGATCTTCCATGTTCCCTGCTGATGGCAGATTAAAGGCTAAACCTTATGGCCTGGTAGTCAGGGCCCTTCAAGGTCACACCCCAAACTCATCGAAATCACCAAATTCCTTACTCTATCCTGAACTTGCACAACCACTTTAATATATATATATATTTATTTATTTTCCGGGAGAGAGGAAGGGAGAGGGAGAAAGAGAAACATTGATGTGAGAACGAAACATTGATCGGCTCCCTCCCACGTCCTCCTACTGGGGATCTAGCCCGAAACCTGATACCTGGGCATGGGCCCTGACCAGGAATCAAACCGGCAACACTTTGGTGCATGGGAGGATGCTCAACCAACTGAGCCACACCTGCCAGGGCTGCCCAAGCACTTTTACTGTCACCCCCATCCTCACAGTGGTCTAGTGGAGGAAGCTCATGAGAGATAAACATAAAACCCGTTGTAAACATGGAAGTGGCTCCCAATAGTCAATGCCTCTCTCCTTCTCTACCTGCTGAAATCTTACTTGCTGTTCAGGTGGAGGTTATTACTTTCTCCATTCCTCTGTCCTTCCTTTTCCAAGCGACCAGTAAGCATATCTCCAGAGTTTTGTTGCTGCTTCTCTCTGTGGCTCAGAGAAAGATGCCAGCATGTGGTAGATGCTTAAGAAACCATGGCTCCATTCTGTTGAGCCTGTTTCCTAAGGACCATAGAGGGTGAGACATTGCTGTGTCACTTTCCAGAATTCTGTTAAGCAGAAGGCACTAGAACATTTATACCTACTGGTGTTAGTCGGCAATTGTTCCATTGGTAGTACCCAGAGTTCATGTCTGTGGACTTTGAAGTGAGTTTTCCTTCTCCTAACAATATCTGGGGAGCTGAGATTTTTCTTTTGTCTCAGGTCAAAGGTTACCAGTAATGGTATTAGTATTGGTTTTCTTCTTGTATTGTTTTTCCTAGAAAACGGAAAGTAGCCTCAGGATTTTTTATTTATTTATTTTTTTGATGGTGGTAGAGTCAGGATCAGCTGGCTAAGAGAAAGAAAAACGTCCCCCAGGATACAGACCTAGACTGGAACCCTATCTCTGCCGTGCCAGCTGGATACCCCTCAACAGCACCTCTTCCCAAAACAAAACAAAAAAATGTAACTAGGAACTAGAGCATTGTAGACATTTCCGTTTCCAAGGAGAATCCTGGCTTTACAGTGTGTGGTTTTCATCGTCAAGGAAATAACCCCAACGAGGTAGGGAAGTTTCCATCCCTAGCAAGACAGATGCAGCTTGTAGAACTTAAAAAAAAAACACAAAGCAACAAAAAACGTTTCTCCCTATCAAATTTTAAAAATCTCAGGATTGGAGTTTCAGGCGGGATAGGGACCCGGTCTCACCTCTGGTTTACCTACCCCCTGTCTTCACTGTCAAGACTAAGCTTAGTCAGGAAATAACCCGTGAGGATTTCTACTGACCATGTGTTCCCACTGCAGCAGCAGGACACGGCAGTGCTGCCTGGCCCTGTGAACCTCTCAGCACACGCAGAAGACGACACTACCTAGGCAGCGCCCTGGGGTGGGTGGATGAGAGTGCTGAAGGCTCTAGGAGGCCCGAGTGGTCCTGTCACCGGGAAGGCCAACTCACCGACAGGCCCCGCACCTGGGCTGAGGAATCTGACTTAAATGAGCAAAATAAAATTTAGCAATTGTAGAAAAGAGAAAATCTCACCACTCTATTATGAATGCCACACCATTGATTCAGAATCACTCAATTGCTCTGCTTTTGATGATCTCCACTCACCATTTTACCTGCTCATCTCTCACGACATGAAATGCACATGAATCCGACTTGTGATGCTCACCCATCGTCCTGCTTTAGCAAACACAGTTTCAATTATGTAGAAATAAGCTTTGAGACTTGGTCACTGACATGCAGGGTAAGGAAATCAGTCAACAAAATATTTTCTTTTAGTCTCACAGCCTCACTGATACACTGTCAAATTTTCTTTCAACATACAAAATCGGATACGATGGACGAGGGCATACAGCCCAGCTGTCTTTCTAATTATCATCTTTTCTTGATAGGACTCAGTTAAACAATTCTTTTTGGGGGAAAGATTTTTTCTTGTGTTTGTCACACAGATACCCACTCTCTGTTTTGCAGAGACAGAGGTGTGTAATCGTGTAACAATTTCTTTCCCACAGAGGAATGCCACAAGTGCCACCATGAACAGCTGCAGACCCGGCGCTGTGGAAGTGGGAGGGAAGATTTCATTACCACGTGACATCACAAGGGAGTGAGTGAGTAGGTGTGCTTCCCCAAGTCTGATCTTCCCCCCACTATTTGGCATTTATCACAATCACCTGCTACTTGATGTCTCCAACTCATCAGGGCCTCTCTGTCCCCAAGCCCAATGATCACTCCCACTTCATTACTGGTCACACGCCAGCAATGTGCTAAATGCTTTCCATACATTATCTCACTTCATCCCTGTAGCAACCCTGTGAGGGAAGCACAATTCACCCATTTTGCAGATGAGGGCACTGAGGTTTAGGGAGATTAAATAATTTCTCTGAGATCAGACAGATAGTCAAGGGGAGGAGCCAGTTTTGAATCCGGCTGCACCAGACTCCAAGGACCTGCTATCATCACGCAGCTCAGTATCACGTTTAAGGAAAGGAAGGGGGTTGAAAATGAAGACCTACTAGTCCCGTGGTTGGCAAACTGCGTCTCGCGAGCCACATGCGGCTCTTTGGCCCCTTGATTGTGGCTCTTCCTAAGCTTTAGGAGTACCCTAATTAAGTTAATAACAATGTACCTACCTATATAGTTTAAGTTTAAAAAATTTGGCTCTCAAAAGAAATTTCAGTCGTTGTACTGTTGATATTTGGCTCTGTTGACTAATGAGTTTGCCGACCACTGCACTAGTCTAACACTTCACAGTTTTACAAGCAAGTTCACACCCATGACCTTACTTAACTTTACACAATAACTCTTTGCACTAGTTATCCCTACTTTACAGTAAGGAAATTAAGGTTCCGAGAGGGAAAGTCATTGAGCAAACAATTCAGAGAAGCTCCAGATCGCTGATGTAAAGATGAAACTCAGAAGCACCGACATGCAATGAGGTGCACGATGATAAGAAATGAATGTGGACTTTGAGGTCAAAGGTTTGAATTTGAGTTCTTGTTCTGTCACTTACTAGTTAAATGACCCTGAGCAAGTCATTTCACCTGTCCTGCCTCAGTTTTGCAAGTGTAAAATGGGCATGCCAATCATACCTTAAAAGGTATGGATCCATTTAGGCTGTTTCCAAATCTTAGCTATTATAAATTGTGCTGCTATGAACATAGGGGTGCATATATCCTTTCTGATGGGTGTTTCTGTTTTCTTGGGATATATCCCTAGAAGTGGTATTACTGGGTCAAATGGCAGTCCCATTTTTAGTTTTTTGAGGAAATGCCATACTGTTTTCCACAATGGCTGTACCAGTCTGCAGAGTGGATTAGAAAACTGTGGTACATTCTACACAATGGAATACTATGCTGCTGTAAAAAAGAAGAGATTTTTACCATTTGCAACAGCATGGATGGAACTGGAGAGCATTATGCTAAGTGAAATAGGCCAGTCAGAGAAAGATAAGTATCATATGAGCTCACTCATTTATGGAATATAATGAACATCATAATCGGATGAACAGAAATACAGAGACAAAGAAGCATCGAACAGACTGCCAAACTACAGCAGGAAGGCAGGGGAGGGTTCGGGGGTGGTGGTGGTAAGCGATCAACCAAAGGACTTGTATGCATGTATATAAGGATAATCAATAGACACAGACACTGAGGGGGGGGGAGAAGAGAGGGGCGCGAGGGCATGTGCCGGGAGGTAGGGGAGGTCAATGGGGGGGGGGGGGGGGAAGGAGACATATTTACTACTCTTTGTAATACTTTAAACAATAATAATAATAATAAAAGGTACGGATCCAATTAGGTACTGTGTGAGAAAGTATTGTGTAAATTACCCAGTGCAATACAATGACAGGCTTTTGCTATCTGAAAACAGCATATTCCCATGAAGCCTTTCATAAGCTGAAATGATGTAAAGCAAAGAGGCACCTGCCATTAATTTGCACAGAAACATTTGTAAGCATTCCTAGACTGCCCCCCAAAAATAACCTACAAAATCATGTCAAATCACACATGAAACACAAAATAACACCAACAGGCAGTCAGCACAGAGCTGCTCTCCCCGCGCAGGTGCTTGCGGCCTGTGCAGTGGCTCACTGCAAAGCAAACGCCGGACAGCCTTCCTTGCTCGCCTTTTTCTGGTCATTGTCGGCAGCATCTTCTCAGCGGTGGGGTTGGGTTTGCCTCTTGGTGCTTTTACAATCCCTTTAGAAAAATGTCAAAACCACTGCTTTGCTCTCTAACCCTTATTTCTAACCAGGCTTTGAAGGTTGATTAGAAAGAAGCCCTCGAAATAATGACGATATTCTGGAATTAAGGTCATTTTTCTTTCCTTTCTTTTTTTTTGGAAACAATTTTCATATGATAATTACTTCAACTGTTTCTAAATTCAGCCTCATAAAAGGCTCTGCAGAGCAGATGCCTCCATGCTCAGGAATGATCACAAAAGATGCAAAGCATCGCTGTCGGAACTCACCTGGCACAGAATTCCCGCTCCACCCGCCGGACAGAATTAGAAAGAGGGCTGACGGGCCAAGTGCGCGGAGGCCTGTGGATCTGCTTCTGGCACCAAGTCTGACAATAGGAATGTTACAGAATGACCCTTAGATCACAGACGATGGTGTCCAACAGCTCTGGGTCTAAATCCCGCTCCGCCACTCACGTGTATGCAGGCTACTCACGTACACTCTCAGAGCCTTGGTATTGTCACCTGCAAAACAGGGACACTAGTGTGTGCGATACGTGGCTGTCAGAGAGAAACATACATGAAATGCCTGTACATATACACAGGAAGGAGGACCTTTGCCCTTCCCTCTGCCTCTACTCAGAAGCACTGTTGTCACCGGGTGAGTTTGCAGACTCATGCGCCAAAGAAAAGACTACACTTTGTTCAAGTCCAATACGTTCCCTCTGCTTCTTGCTTTCACCTGGCTCCAGACATAAGCAGAAATTTCTGGCACTTTCTCTCTCATCCCTATATATACTAGTGGCCCGGTGCATGAAATTCGTGCACATTAAAAGGGAATTAATTAGAGGAAGTATTTTAATATTGCTATTTGCCCTTTCTCTATAATAGAAGTGTCAGAGATGAAAGAAAATTAGTAAAATGTATATGAAAATCTCCCTCCTGTCAGAGTCTGGGGCGTGCCGCGGGCCCAGAGTCAAGTCCTTGCCCATCTGTGCACGCCTTGAAATCGCATGAGACCCAGACCCGGCCGGCCCCACCCCCATCAAGCCCTGCAGGGCAGGGGGTGCAGCCTCAGGTCCCCCGGCCCCGGCGCAAGGGTGTGACGACCATTTGCACATAGCTCTTTATTATATAGGATATAGTACTGTGACTCTGTCCCTCACAGCTTAGCAGCTAAGTGGTGGAAGCACTGAGATTTGAGTTGAGGATGGAGCCTCACCCAATCCCTCCACAGATTAGGTCAAGCCTGGTTGCCTGACTAATGACAGGAGGCACTTCCATGTCCAAGGTCTGTGTGTTTATAGCTCCCAAGGCACGGGGAGGAGTAGGGGTTGGAGGAACAGGATTTGGATAGTTCCAGGTCTTTGGCTGTAACACCACTAACATCACCTCACGGAATAAAATGGTAGCCAGCACACACCGAAAGAAGCCTCGTTTCCTAAGCAAAGACTATATGCAATCCTCCTCCAACTGCTTCAATTCTAATGACAGGGTCACTTCCAGTCTCCTTTTTTTTTGTTTTATTTGGTTTTGTTAATCCTCACCTGAGGATATTTTCCCATTGATTATTAGGGAGCGTGGAAGAGAAAGGGAAAGACAGAGAGAAACATCAATGTGAGAGGAACACATCGATTGGTTGCCTCCTTTTAAAAATTCCCTTTCCTGTACCAGCAACCAGACAGCACGTGGCTGGAGCTTTCTGCCAGACCCTCCGGAGCCCCCCTGCCGAGGACAGGGTGGTGGGCCGTGAGCACCCCTGCACGGCAGCTTTGCTGGGCGAGGAGGTAGGTGCCCCTCCTGCCAGGCGCTTGCAGTTGGCCCGAGGAGTTATGAATTGTAAGGAGGTCTCCACTCGATGACGTCCTGCCACACAGCAGGCTCTCTTTCCAGCAGGGAAGCCAGACTTTTTTTAGGGTGATAACATCTGGGTTTCCTTTTTATTCATCAGACATAGATCCAAATGTAGAAATGCCCAGCGTGTCATCACATACTAGTATTTTCACGCTCTACTGAAAACCACACACAGCCAAAACAATGCAAATGTCCTGCAACAGATCAATGGATAAGCAAAACCGTCTATAGATGGTTATGTATATTTTACCGTAATTTTTTTAAAAAGAGAGAAAGGACTACCCAGCTGTCCTGGGATAGGGACTCCATGAATGGAGAGGGTCCCCGAATTCCACCCGGCTTCCGGCTTCCACATGTCACGGGGGCAGAGCTTTTCTGAGTGAGAAAAGATCAAAGCCGCAGGAAACAATGCTCTTCCCCAGACCTGGCAAAGAGCCTTACCGAGCCGCCCCACCGACAAAATAATGGACTCCATGCCGGCTTCTGTTCATCCAGGGGAACAGCCCGCCCCGCGCCGGGAGGGGCAGGCAGCACTCTGCTTGCAAAGGCCGCTCAGCCCTTTGGCCAGAAGGCAACCAGACGAGCCTGTTGTAGTCTCTGGCACATGATTTATGGCCACGGATATGGTTTATTTCCAAATTCAAACTATAATTCTAAAGACGTTTCTGGGGGGAAAAATGATTTCCCTCCAACGGCATTTTTTGGCTACTGTAATAAAACTTAATTCCTTCATGTTTGCGCATGAAATATAAAATTTTTTTATTCGATTAAGCCATTATAAACAGATTTCCTCCTAAATGTCTTCTACAATACAGAACTAATCCTGGGTCTTCTAAATGATCCTGGCTAAGAATACAATAAATGGTTTTTAAATGTCTATATGTAATTATTTTATCCATGAATAAAAGAAGTAACTGCCGGCTGTAATTCGTGGAATTGAATAGAAAGAACATAATTTACATCTACTGCTTTATTCCTAATAGCAATTGTAAAAATAACTAAAAATTCTGGGGGCTGTAGTCATGGAGAC